GTGATGTTTTCAAAAACTGAAATCCTTTAACTTACCAAAATAACTACAAACATTCCATTTCATCTTCTAAATTCCATTTTTCTCATTACATTTGACCCTTGAACAACATGGAGTTTAGAGGGACCAACCACCACTGCAGTCAAAAATCTGTGTATAACTTTTGACTACCCCAAAACTTAACTACTAATAGCTTACTGTTGACCAGAAGCCTTACCAATAACATAAACAGTCAATTAACACATTTTTTTATATTACATGTACCATATACTATATTCTTACAATAAAGTAAGCTAGAAAATATGTTTTTAAGAAAATTATAAGGAAAAGATAATATATTTACTATTGACTAAGTGGAAGTGGATCATGATAAAGGTCATCTTCACATTAAACAGGCTGAGGAGGAGGAGAAAGAGAAGGAGTTAGTTTTGCTATCTTAAGGGTGCCAGAGGAGCTGAAGGTGGAGGCAGAAGAGGCAGGCATATTCAGTAAAACTTTACAGAAATGCATTGTAATTTCTGACTTTTTTGCTTTTTCATTTCTCTAAAAATGTTTGTTTTCTATATGGTAACAATCTTTCTTCCACCATTTGCTTTAGTTTCAGCGCCCATATCACAGAAGGGTCCATGTCATAAAAGAAGTCAAAAGCAGTCTTGAATAATGGGAATCTGCTGCCAGACTGTTTAATGTCGTCTTGTTTTCTGGCACTGCTGTTTCTACATCTTTTTCCTCATTGTCTGGCATTGGTTTGAGAACACTCATCTCCGTCAAGTTATCTTCTGTTAATTCCTGTGGTGTGGTATCTATTAGCTGTTGAATTTCTCCAAGATCCTTATCTTGAAACACTTCATTCCTCACCTTTTTGTTTGCAACATCCACCATCTCTTTCATGATTTCCTTGATTGGCTCACAGCATCTTCACACAGTATTCTCTAGCAGGAATTTATTGTTTCAGGCTTTATGGTCTTCACAACTTTTTCTTTAGCAATGATGGCACTTTCAATGGTGTAATCCAATAGAACAACTTCCATGATGTTCTATTGGGGTTCTTTTCCATAGCACTGATAATCCTTTCCATACAGTAGTGCATGGTATAAGCTATAAAGTTACTTACGACTCTCTGATCTAGAAGCTAGATTACTGATGTTATGTTTGGGGGAAAGCAGAACATTTTGACACCTCTGGGGTTGAATTCAAGGGGTTCTGGGTGGACAGGGACATTGTCCAACACCAAAAGAACTTTAAAAGGCAGTCTCTTATTGGTAAGGTACTTCCTAACTTCAGAGACAAAGCACCAATGGCACCAATCCAGAAAAAGGGTTCTCATCCAGGCTTTTTGTTGTACAACCAGAAAACTGGCAGCTGTTATTTATCTTTTCCCTTTGAAGCTTGTGGGTTAGCAGCTTTGTAGATAAGGGCAGTCCTGATCATAAACCTGACTTCATTTGCACAAAACAGTAAGAGATAACCTATCCCTTCCTGCCTTAAATTCTGGTGCTCACTTCTCTTCCTTACCTAATAAATGTTCCTTGTGGCTTCCTCCCCTCCAGATTAGGGCACTTTTGTATGCAGTAAAACCTTTCGGGTAGATGTTTTTCTCTTCCATTATTTTCTAAATGGCATCCAAAAACTCATCTGCTGCCTCTCTGTCAGCAGAAGCTGCTTCTCCTGATATCATGATTTTTTTTAAAGCCAAATCTCTTTCTAAAATTATCAAACCATCCTTTGCTGGCATTAAGTTCTCCAGCTTCAGATCCTTCACTTTCCTTTTGCTTTAAATTCTCATTTGATATCTTAGCTTTTTCTCAAATTACATTGGAGTCTATTGGTATGCCTTTCTTATAGTAAGCCTACACCTACAGAAAATCTGTATTTTCAATACTAGATTAAAAAGGTATTTGCAAAGAGTACAAGGTTTTTATTTGTGAAGTCATATAAAACAACAAATTCTGTTGTAGCTCAAGTGAGGACTTCACAAATTTCCTTTTTTTTTTTTTTTTTTTTTAAAAAACAATCGTCCTTACACTGAATTCGTTTATCCTGAAAAGGTGGGCAAACACAACTGGAGACCTCAATCTACTACATACATCAAGGAATTAAAATTTTTATTGTAAATGTCCTAACTTTTCTCTGCTTCTAGGAAGCACTTCCAGCATCACCAGTGAACTTAGTATGGGTCCCATGGTGTTATTTAAGGTTTATAGTATGTATTAAAAACAATAAAAATATGCAAAAAACTGTAGGAAATCGCTTTTTAATGTGATACTCAATTTACTAGAGAGAGAAACTGCTCAAATGTAGATGATTAGCATCACTTGAGCTCACCACAGTAGCAACAGGAGGTGGGGATGAAATTATTACAGTGGTATAATACGTACCATAGTTAGTTTTTTGCAGTTATGATTTAATACTGCATGAATGGGGTCATGTATAGCTCTGTGTTTGTGTAAGCTTTAATAAATTTTAACTTTTTGAATAGAGTTGTGTGTATTTCATGGTAGTAAATGATAAAATAGACTAGTACTGATATATGTTTTATGTATTCATGGCATATGTAATTTTTAATTTTTTTTTTTGATATTTCTAGGCTATGTCATTTGTAAGTTTTTTCAAACTTTCACAAATATCCAAAAACTTTTCTAATATATTTACTGAAAAAAAACTATGTATAAATGGACCCATGAGTCCAAACCCATGTTGTTCAAGGTCAAAGGTGTATCTTTAACTTCCACATGGTTAAATATGTTCTAGAAAACCTGGTTACTGGGTAAATGTATGATTCTTTTCCACAGACAAAATACTGACATTCTAAGTCCTTTCCTTATTAACCATTTGCTGAGTATTAATGGTGGTAGCTCCCTAGCCATTCATTTATTCAACAAATATTTGTGCCTACCCTGTGCTAGGCCCTGTTCTGGGTCCAAATAAATATCTGAAGGGTTATATGTACAGAGGAACTCAATTCAGTCTTTCTCATAGAGTTACTGTGCAACATCCCTCAGGTCATTATACTGAAAGTCATTGAAACCGAAGACTGAAAAACGTAAGGATGAAGTACTTCCATATACAAAAGGATTTTTACCATACTTTCAAATTGCTGTATAAAAGCAATGAGCTGAAGAAACCTAGATAATCTAGTTGGTCCAAAGAATTTCAAAACTTAAGTGAAATAGTCCAGTGGAAAATATGTTTCTATCTCAGGGGAAAAAAAATTTTTTTAAACTCTGTTGGGGCAGTTTTAAAACATTTAAATTTAATATTACAATAAAAATTTTAAAACATATAAAATATGTCTATACTATATTTACTTGAAAAAGAAATCCTTAATATTGGCAACTGTATTTACCAAGAAAGATGAGATATAACACAATTTTTTAAAAATTAATAAAAACCATTTGACCTTTTGGGTAGATGTATTATTCTTGTTTTATTCACAACATATGCTAAGTAGGAGTGGTGATAATTATGAAACAAATCTGATAAGTGAAATAAGTTTGCATCTTACAACATGAAAATTATATTTCTTATAGTTAATAGACTAAAAAGGTTCTCATAAATGGCATCAATATCTTACAGTAGACTAATTTAGAATTTATCCACTAGCACAAACTAAAACATTGTCACAAGAGGAATCTGGCAATACCTAGCAAAATTACAGAGGAATTTTGACCTAAGAATCTCATTTCTTAGAATCTGTCTTAAAGACGCATGAGCAAAAATACCAAAGAACATACATTAATTGCCCTACTACTGGTAACGGTAAAGGAACAGAAACAACCCAAATGCTGACCAATGGGGAACTGGTTGAATAAATCATAATGCATTTATTTTAAATAGATATTACATACTTTAAAAAGAATTGATAAATATCTATACATACTGCTATAGAGAAGTATTTTTTTTTTCATTATTTCCCCTCTAGAAGCCTTTCTAATCACACACACAACCCTATGAAATCCTTTTTTTTTTTTTTTTTTTTGAGACAGTCTGTTGCCCAGGCTGGAGTACAGTGGCATGATCTCAGCTCACTGCAACCTCCACCTCCCAGGTTCAAGCAGTTCTTGTGCCTCAGCCTCCCAAGTAGCTAGGAATACAGGTATGCGCCACCACGCCCAGATAATTTCTGTATTTTTAGTAAAGACAGGGTTTCACCATGTTGGCCAAGCTGGTTTTGAGCTCCTGACTTCAAGTGATCCACCTGCCTTGGCCTCCCAAAGTTCTGGAATTATAGGCGTGAGCCACCACAACCAGTCACCCCTATGAAATTTTAATGCCACAGATATATGCCTGTTTATGTACTGTGGCCCTTTGGAGAGTCACAAACCATTGTTATATTTAAGATTTTTTTTTTTTTTTACCCTTTAAGAACCAATGTTTGCCCCCTTGAGGTAGTATCTCCCCTTGAGAATGCATGCTGTAGAGCACTATACAATACCCAGAGTATACTGTAAGGTGAAAACAGCAAGGTGAAGAACCATATGTACAGTGGGCTAATGCTTATCTAAGATGAGAGACAGACAGATAATGGATGGACAGATATAAACTGAAACTTTTGAATGGTGACTTATGGTGGGGGTTGTGGGGAAGAAAAAAATGGGGTCATACTGATACTTGCAATTTAAATTCATAACTATATGGTTTTTACTTCTTCAATCTCCTTTAAATTAGGCTGAAAATTGTGGTTCCTAATGACACCAACATAATTCCTCATTTATCCCACAACATACACATATTGTTCTCAGAACAATATTATTACTACAAATATAGGACTTTTATTCCTCTTCTTTTCCTTAAGACATACCCCACATGAGATACCCCACAACATACACAGATTATTCTCAGAACAATATTATTACTTCAAACAATACTGGACTTCTTTCCTCTTCTTTTCCTGAAAATATATGCCACATGAGATGAATAAATTACTGTTTTAAAGTCACTTAAAGAAGAAAATAATTTCCCAGTTCTGTCCACTACAAAGGCCTAAAAATAATGATCAATCCAGTAGCAAGAACACTCCTAAAAATCCATTTAAAAATGGATTTTTAAATATCATTTCCTACTAAAAGAAACTAGGGCTTGTTAGGCAAATGGCAGATTACAGGTCTGGGGTAGGAAATATATAATATGAACATCCTTCCATAATACAAAGTAAGAAAACCATCAATAACTACTCAGGAAATCATGTCAAAAGGACTCAAGAATGAACTTGAGGAGGTTCCTACAAATAATAGGTCAATTTGAACACTAATAAAAATTTAAAAACAAAGAACTTAAAATACTTTGCATGTAAACCCATGTATTTATTATATTTTTTTAAATTCATCAGTTATCTTTGGAGGATGCTATGTTTCCAATTCATTATTTTGAAAACAGCTAAATAAAAAGAATCTAGCATTTATCCTGTCTAATCTTGTAAGAATTGTCCTTCAAAGGGTGATCAAATAATTGTTATAATGGAATGTTATTAGCTTCAGCAACAGTTTTAGTTAAATTAGTATATAAACGATATATACTGTTTCAATGATTACCACTTTTATTGGTAATATATAGAAAAATTTCATTTCATGAGTAATGGTTAAAAATATTTATGTCCTAATAATTAAAATTGCCCAATTTTGCAACAATTTAGGCAGTAAAATCATTTAAAATTTTTAAAATTTACAAATTCAACAAATGTACAAAAGAATCATTATAATAATTATGAATTATGCAATGAGTCAAAATTACCCTTCAAGTTCTGAAGAGACGAAATCAAACTTTGGAACTTATACAGATACATCATACCGCCAATCCATTAATAGAAACCTCTTTGAATAGAGACAGGAAGATCCATTAGTTGAAAATTTTGTTTTAAAAATAACGAATTTATATAGGAAGATGCCACCACTTTAACTACAACTCATGAAAAAGTTTAGTACTCAACAGTAATTATAAACCAGGCTTCTCAATTACAGGGCGCATTAGAATCTCCCAGAGAGCTTTCAAAAAAATACAGATGCTCAAGCTTTACCCTCTAGAAAGTCTGATTTAATTGGTTTGGGTGGGGTTTGGCATACTTTTTTAAAAGCTATTCTGGAGATTTTATTATGCAGCCAGGATTAAGAATCACAGTCATATAGATGGGAAATTGGGGACAATGATTATAGGAAGGAAAAAAGAAAAAAAAAGACTGGAATTAAAGTGTCAAGATACATTTGGTAATATACTGAATACATAGATTTCACAAATATGTATTAAGATGTATATAACATAGCTCTTAACCAAGACATTTAAATTCAAAGCCCAATAGAAAGATTTAAAGTAAAAACACAAACAATCATAAAACATGGTAGAAGACTGTAAAATTTCATTAGAGAATACAAATAAGGTGTTCTGGGAGCTCAGAAGTCACCAAAAAAGTTTACATGAAAAGTATTTCAAAGTCAAAAAATACAGAAAGAATGAGAAAAAAGAAGACATACATAAGTATTATTTGCTACTAACAACTAGAAAAAATACTGTGATGTTAGGTTAATAGTACACAGCAAAATGGTACCCAAATAAAACTAGCAGAATTCTTTTTTGAAAACAGAGATTTGCATTTGTGGTAATTTAATTACTGAAAAATTTTCATATGAAAGTTCCCTTTAAAAGCAATAGAACCAGCCTGGGCAACATAGCGAGACCTCAGCTCTACACAAAAATTTAAAAATCAGCCTGGCATGGCGACACAGACCTATAGTCCTAGCTACTCAGGAGGCTGGAGCAGGAGGATCAATTGAGACCAGGAGTTCAAGGCTACAGTTGAGCTATGATTACATCATTGCACTCCAGCATGGGTGACAAAGCAAGACTATAGGTATTATGTTATACATATACATATGTAATATATTCACATATATTAAATATTTATATATGTTCATATATATACATTTAAGAGCATTTTTAAAAAGCAATAGAAAGAACATTATAGCCAAAAGCAAAACTTGGGACTATGATCTATAAAATGGGAAGATTATTATTGTTTTTTTATTGCAATGGAAAGATGATTAACAAATTAATTCAAAAGAGTCCTTTGCTTGTCCTACTGAAAGATTTCTTATTTCAAGTAAGACCCTATGCTTAGTATATGACCCACAAAATGACTAAAATTTGGACTCTGATATAAAAAAGACAAAAGAGTGTGAAATTCAAGTAGAATATTTCTTATTTCCTAATGGGAAAGTATAATTATTTTAATAAACTAAGGAGAACGGCTTATAACCTAATGCTTTTGTTACCATAAGAGACCTCTAATACATATTTTTCTGGCTAAAAATCAATCTGTAAAGCATCCAAAACGAATTCTTATGCTTCTAAAGTTAAATGGCCTTAAAAATATCTGTGAAGCTATACAAGAAAGTTACAAATGTTGATATCTAACAACCTTTAGTAAAAGGAAAGATAAAGTCAATAAAGTAAATCATCATATAGGATTTGACAGAAATTTAAAACAAACAGCAAACAAAAGAATGGGGCCGTAATAACCAATCTTAAACTACTTCAAGTATGATTCAGTATTCTTCCTTGAATATAAAAATATTTTTTAGAGTATTTTTTTGAAAATTATTTGCTATATGTTTATTAGAAGTTGACTCAAGTTCTGATACCAAATTTTTAAAGTTATAAACATATTGGAAAAGACATTTGATAGAAAACTTTACAGAAATGTTTTACATAAAGAAATAACATTCTTTACACATATGTGATTCTAAAAAAATAGAAATATATTGAGCAAAATGTAGACAATCAGAACATCTGAAAGTCTTTTTAAAAATAATACACATTTTTGGCTGAGCACGGTGGCTCATGCCTGTAATCTCAGTACTCTGGGAGGTCAAGGAAGGCAGATGCCTTGAGTTTAAGAGTTCGAGACCATCCTGGGCAACATGGTGAGACCTCATCTCTACTAAAAGTAAACATTAGGCCAGGTGTGGTGGCTCATGCTTGTAATCCCAACACTCTGGGAGGCCGAGATGGGCAGATCAAGAGGTCAGGAGTTCAAGACCAGCTTGGCCAACATAGCAAAACTCCATTTCTACTAAAAATACAAAAATTAGCTGGGGCTGGTGGTGGGCACCTGTAATTCCAGTTACTCAGGAGGCTGAGGCAGGAGAATCGCTTGAACCCAGCAGGCAGAGGTTGAAGTGAGCCAAGATCGTGCCACTGCACTCCAGCATGGGCAACAGAGCTAGCCTCTATCTTGAAAAAAATAAAAATAAAAATAATTTTTAAAAAGTAAAAATTAGCTGGGCATGGTGGTGCTTGTTTTTGGTTCCATCTACTCAGCAGGCTGAGGTGAGAGGATGGCTGGAGCTAGTGGTGAGGGGCAGGAAGCCTAGCAGGGGATGAGAGATGGGGCAGAGGTTGCAATGAGCAGAGATCACACTACTGCACTCCGGCCTGGGCAACAGAGCAAGACCGTCTCAAAAAAAAAAACAAAAAACAAAAAAACACATTTTTAAGTGATGAATATTTTATACTTTGAGTTAAGGTATAAACAAAAAAGTAAGGTTGAAAACAAAGGTAAGCTCTTCCTTGGGCTCAGAATAAATGTAAGATTATAAAATTTTTATTCTGTAACTCAACAAATCATAAACAATTGGGAATAAATAAATATCCAATCTGCTTCTTAAAATTACTTTTCATGATTATTGACCATAAATTTATGAGTCAATGAAAACAAAAATTAAATAAATTGTATGAACTGTGAGGTAACAATTAGAACAGTTTGAGAATTTGTATTTGCCAAGTAAGCATTCAATCTTTGATTCTATTTCACATAAAATATCTAAAACCTAAAGTATTTTCAAAATAATAACAGGAGAAACTGGGTCTTTTCATCACTATGTGGATTTCTTTTGCAGTTTGAAAAACAGCCTGCAAATCAGAAATGAATTTTAATAATTATTCAATTTTAAATCTATTAGAGACTTTTAACACTAACTTAATTTTAAATATACTCTCCACCTTGACCTACCATTATGAAACAAAGCTATTTCAACATTTTCAAAATGTTATTTTTAATGTTGTGACTGGCTTTGCATTTATCTCATGTGCTAGAAATTTTAATTTTGCTTCTCCATCCAAATGTCTCTGTAAATATTATTCCTTACGATTTTTATTTTGCTAATACTAAAATATCAAATAACATTATTAAACAGATGATCAATCTGGAAGAAAAAATATCCATTTAGCTTTGAATACATTCACACTTTCAACATTACAGGCTAAAATTTATCCTTTAAAAATTTCTAACATTATTTCTAATGGCTTACTTAATGGACATACCGGAAACTATGAATGCCCTGAAGTTCCTGCTGTAGAACCTCTTGTGTTGTTGCTATTAAGTCCAATGCTCCAACAAATTCAGAAGTAGATAATAACACCTGTACTGTAGGCTGAGTCTGGTGTACAGTGGCCATTAACTTCAGCTTATTGTACACTTTAACACAATTATTTCTGGTAAGTGCCAGTCTTAAAATGTGGAGTGACCCTTCACACATTACTTTATCAATCTGTGCAATTTTATCTCGAAGCATTTTTACAGCCTGGGAAGTTTTCTTGAGGTAGTCCTGCAACTCGTGTTGAGAGGTCATTGCATGAAAAAATGCTTCTGAACGTAGAGAAATCTGGTGAGCAATGTTTACTTCCACAATATCCAGATAATGGCTCAGCTTAAAAAGGAAGGAAAAAAAATGAAGTATTACAAGCATACCTTCCGTGATAATCCAAATAAATACTTTATGAAAATGATAAAAGATTTCTACATATACTTTAAATTCCATTGTGTGAATCATTTGATTGTGAGATCCTTGAAATCGGGCACAACAAAATGGAAGGAAGATAAAAGGTACAGCCCAAAGATATAATGTATGACAAAAGAGTACAAAGTGATTTACTTTCCTCCTCTGTTCCTGTCATTACCACCTTACAAACACCAACTGCTTTCTAAAAGATAAGAGTACCCCACAGACACCTCAAATTACAACTCTAGTTTCAGATGTTCTAAGATCTGAGAGTGAAAGAGAATGATCTCCTTAGCCCCCAACAATATCACACATTGTTTATCTGACTAAATGGATGATTCTAATTTCCATTTATTGACCTCCTCCTATGGATTAGGCACAGGTATTTTATACACATCTAATTTTTCTAATTTTAACAATCTTGAAATATAGATATTATCATCATTTTACAGATGAGGAAACACAGAGACTTGAATAAAGTCTCTCTGA